AGGCATAGTTCGTGTGAAGGAATAATAATTGTGCCTAAAACTGATGAAAAAAACAAAGCTGAAACCACGGTGAATTCTCATGACTAAATGCAATAAAGATTCCACTCATCTGAACTTAGAGAATCTCAATGGCACTAATGGGGTAATTTCTGCATTAGTTTTTACTGATTTCAAAGATGGATCCTTTGATAGCACAGATTCAAGTGCTATCTTGAATGAAGACAACAATAGCCCGACTGCTGCTATATCTTCATCTACTGGGTATTCAAATAAAGTGCTTGAAATAAAGAGAAAAATACATAATACAATTGAAAAAAAAAATTGTGTATTCTTAAAACAAATAAAAAGAAAATTCTTTACGTATCATTATAATTCTCTACATCTAAATCCATTGATTTTTCTACCACTCTACTCAATAGACTTTCTTCGTGTGACAATAGCGTTAATGTTCTCTAATTTCTTCTTATAATTATTTAATTTATGCTGATTTCAAGGGCTAGCGATATGTAAACAAAGACAGCTATGTGGTAAGGTGATTCTTCTTACAATATTTTCCGTGCTTATATTTTCACTGTGAAGTGATGGAGGGACCAAAATGTGGTGTGCATATAGTGTGTATGTCTTTACACTAGGGTTTATGTATTTTTACTTCAGAAAATATAGATGGATATACAGTAGCTAAAACCGTCAATCTACAGAACAAGAAACATAAGATGATGAGAGAAAGAGAAGCGGGAAGAAGGGGCTAGGGGGTGGAGTGTTCAACTATTTTTAGGCTTTTTTTAGAGGCCCCTTAAAATCTAAAGCCCAAGGCAGTGGCCTTGCCTTGGGCCAGGGCCGGCCTTGAGAATAACTACGTTCGTAAAGAGATTACGCAAGCGCCTAAAGTTGGAATGCAGGTTGGTTCAATACCAAAACAGAATTTGTACTCACAATCAAGCAATTAGGATACTCTAAAATATGCAGCAGATTAATCACATATGGTCGAGCTAGTGCTCCACTGCGCCTATAATTTAGTGTGGTGGCTTCTTTCTTGATTTTCTCACCAAATTCGTTACCACAAATTCAGACAAAATGGCATGGAATTAGGCATCGTTTAGGCACAGAAGCATGCAAACTATTAACAAGAAGATCAGAGCTGGTGAAAGCTAGAGTAAGAAATACAGGGTAACACGTGTTTAGGTCTGCCTCAAACTATCTCACGATATCCTCTATGATTTTGGCCCGCTGTAGTCCCTCAGACCAACTTTAGATAAAATAGAAGAACAATCAAGTTGAGGAAGTCGAAACTGATTAGTCCAATCTAGCGACAAGAACAAAAGCAGCCGAAATCAGTCTTTATGTAATAAGTTCATGTATCAAATGGAACTCGGAAATTGTTAAAGATGGGGTAGCAAAGGTGAAGGCAAATATGTTTCTTCATCACTGCTGCACCTGTTACAATAAAGTAAAATGGGCTATGCATCAGATAATTAAGCACATTCAAAGATGGAACCCTCAACATTTCCCCTGCAATCCGTAATTCATCGAGTTCTTGCTTACGCCATAAACATGCCTCCTTTGCATCCTCGATGTGCGTCACATTTTGCAATTCTGAAATGGCAAGTATCCATGCAAATGCTGAAGATTCCTCAATCCCCTCAGTCCCAAGCCATCGACTTTGCTGACAACAAGTTTTGGAAATGTCCACG